AAAGATTCTAAATTATTATGTATAGTTTTCAATATATTAATTATACTTACGATATTTATAAAGGCGGAGAAGGTATTTAGTAAGACGAAGTAAGTAGTTAGTTAATATAGATATAGTTTATTGTATTTAATTATTGAGTATATTGTTTTATGTAAGAATTAGTAGTAGATTTGGCGTTTCTAGATGATGGGGGTAGTGTTGAATAATTAGAAATATACCAGAAAAATGATATTCCGGGTCAAATCTAAATAAAGTAAATTAAATATTATTGTAAATAAAGCAAATCCGACCTCAAAATTTTGTAAATAAATCAAATCAGACCCCAGACTTGATTTGATTTGCGTTGTGTGGAGCACTGCATATATGCCCGCCAGGGAAAACACTGGAAAACCGGGACGTGGCGATGCTCACGTACCTACGGACTTCATGACCTTATATCCGATTTGTGATGTCCGATGCACCTCTTATCTGTCAATTACCACAATCATTTTGAAGTATATAAACAGGCATACATACCTCCTTCGTTTTTATTCCACCTTCCTCTTCTTTCCTACTCTTGATCCTCTCATCAATCTCACCCGGTATCACCTCTCCACTCTGTATCCAACACTCAAACATTTGCCAACAATGCCGACACCTTCTACCACACTCAGTGGCCTTCCGGCCGAGATGCTCGATCATATCATGGACAACTGAGATATGGAATCAAAGGCCAACCTAAGACCCGTCTCGAAACGATTCCGCGCTCATGTCGACAGTCGAACGAAACGTCTACAGAAATACATCAACGAACATATTCCGGACAACGCTATCTTTTGCGTTGTGTTCTGCCATGAACTGGAGAAAGTACGGAAGCGCCTCGGCCAATCTAACCCACCTGATGACCTATATCGACATTTTATCGAGAAGTTCGAGCAATTCGTTCCACCTAATGTCGAACAGTACATTCGACCTGGGTGGGTTGCGCATGCATTTCCTGGGGTCATTTCTGAGGTCGGGGAAGACATTCCACCCGGCCTATGGGAAGTACCTGGCCCTCTCGCTCCTTTGTCGCCGGAACAAGTGAAGACTCTCCGAGGAATGCTTCCGACAGACGCTCTCGAACTGGAAGCAATCAAGGCGCGTTTAGACAACATCAACGAGCTCATCGATTCGCGCTGTTGGGAGTTGAAGGAGGGGTTCGGAAAAGATAAATTCAACAACCGTTGTCGCGAGTTTTTTTGGTAGTTGGCCCTATGACAGAATGGGCAAGAAAACCGGAATATGGCTTCGGCACTCATTAGCCCAGCTTTCCGAACGCGCGTGTAAATCCAAAGAGGGTCCTTTCTCCCCAAAGGAGCGCGGCTTTTTCCAGACAGAAATCTACCGGGCCTTAATTTGCAAGTTCAGTCGTCTGGGGCATGCAATGATAAAGTCTAGGGGGGAGAATTGCAATGGCCAAGCCGCACTTTGCAGGGCGAGTCGTGTGGTATCACGACCTGCAGTGTCAAATTCTGGGCAGGAGGATTTCACTGGCGCTCTGGATTCGATCACGTTCTTGAGGAGTCAAGAGTGATGCGATATGTAGAGGTACGTACTATTTTCATCCTCATATTTGGACGCCCTTTGTCGACATGTTCTCGCGCGATGAGGGACTATCTCGGGCTAAGTGCTCCTTCCCAGTCTTTTGCACTTCATCTTGTCCTCCTTCTCACTCGCAAGAAACTCTCAACCTACCACACAAGTTCTAGCAAAAAAGAATAGTCCAAACTAACCAGAACTTATCGATAATAGCAAACAAATTACCCCTATCTAGTTTACCCCTACCTAGTTCTTCGACTTCTTCTTTCGGCTGGGTTTCAAGTGTTATAATTGTTTGGTACTTGGTTGCTTTTCGTTCGGCGTGAGAGGTCAGACACGGCTACCTTTCCAGAGGAAGGCCTGTGTCTGGCCCAAGGCATTTTCCCCAAACATTAGGGCAGGTACGCTCCATGTCTATCACAGACACTACATGTATTTTAGACACCAGACAGCGCAGAGGACCTGTTCCTCTCCAGATCATCAATCAATCCATCGATGATCACAAAACATTCATGTTGCACACCATGCTCGTGACGACACGCTTAAATTAAATCGGGCTCAGTCCCCCTCAATCACATCTTCCTTTCATTTACCTATCTTTTCCCCCCACAAGCTCAATCCGAAGGCATACAATCATGAACAAAATGAATGATCAGATGTCTCACAAAAGGAAATAACGAGATCGATTCAAGGTATTCAACCAAAATGTATTAGAATATGATCTGAAAAGACTGTTTGTGCTAACTTGCTGTCTGACCGCTTAATGATCTTCTTGGTGTTGATGATCCTTCTGACGACGAAGGAATTACTACAACCAAGACAAAGAAGAAGAAGAAGAAGAGTAGTTCTACCCGGAAGGTTCGCCTCGAAGATAACGCGAACGGATCAGATAGCGATTCTATGGGATTGCTAAAAAGATCAAGGCCGCGATGAAGGAAACGAAGACTTCACCCCCCATCAACCTCGACAACGTTGCCAATAAGTCTAACATGGAGAAGATTACTGAACAGATGGCCAATCTGGCACTGAAAGTATCAGTCATGAGCGACAAAACTGACAGTCGTCGATCATCTCTTAATAAGAATACTGGAAATAATCGCCTCCGCACTAATAACATCGGCGTTGGTAATCATTCCTCCGACCTTATCCAGAGTTGGGAATTAGTACCGTACTAATTAGTACGACTCTAGTATTAGTATTTAGTATTAGTATTAGTACGGCCTCCGTACTAGACTAGACTAGTACTAGTACTAGACTAGTACTAGACTTAGTATACTAAAAATACTAATTTTTGAAAATTGATATTTTGTAACTTTTTTAATACTATATAATTTATATAAAAATATTTGTATATAAAAACGCTATTATTACTACGAATTAATTTTTTTTAATTTAATATAGATTTTTGAATCTGGAAGGGTATTAAAAGTATAATAAATAAATTTAAAAAAAATAATTTTGGAATTCTAATAATATATTTGAAAAGTACGATTTTAACTACTATAATATATAATTAGAAGTTATAATAAATTATAACTTATAAATACTAATTAGTACTAGAGCCGTACTAATTTGTACTAATTCGTACTAGAGTCATACTAATTCGTACTAAGTCTAATACGAATTAGTACGTTTAGTACTAAAAATACTAGGAATACTAAAAATACTAGAGTAGTACTAAAAGCACTAAAGATAAAAAAGAGTATAATAAATAATTTACATTAGGAATAAATTTAATAAATTATTAATTAAATTATATAATTAAAGATTATTTTAGTATTGAGTTTATAAGTAGAAGAAAAATAGTAAAGATAATAATAATAATAGTAATAATAATAATAATAATAATAATAATAATAATAATAAAAAGGGTTATAAACTTTTAAACCTTTTAAAGCTTCCAAGGCTTCCAAGGCTTCCAAGGCTTCTAAGGCTTCCAATCCAACCTTCCAAGGTTTAAAGACGTTTTTCGTCATCTAATTTAAAAAGGTGGTGAAATCGTACGTTTTTGAAACTCAGCGCTTAAAATTTCGTCGCTTGACCATTTAATGTAACCTTATTTACCATCCGTTATCTTAATCCTACCTTTCTTTTCTAACTAAGATTTTCATACCTTTTCAATGAATAAGACGTTTAAAATAGAAAAAAAGGATGATTCTTTAAAAAATTAATATAACGAGGTTTTCTTTTAATAAAAAGTCTAATCTATATATACAACTTTCCCCCTTCAAATTCCTTTTCCTTCTTTTCTTCCAAATCATCAACACCCTTCTTCACTACCTTACCTTCTTCTATTCTATTCTTTACCCTCAACCTTCTTCCTACCTTCCACAATAGATCCGTTGGAAGCCTTTCTTCAAGGAGGTGGCCAAACTTCGTCTACCCCTATGATTTAGGTTCGTTTACCTCCTTTTTTTTCCTTTTTTTCCTTATTTCTCATTTTTTTCTATTGCTTTTATTCTTCTTTTCTTTACTAATTTAAATTTAGAACGATGCCTTCCTTTCCCTTCCTACAATGGAAGATTTCGAATAACCTGATCCGAATTTCCTTAACCCCCAATTCGTCTTCGAAGTAAGTAAATCTTTTTTTTCTTTTTTATTCTTCTTTTTTCCTTTTTTTTTTACTAATTCCTTTAGCCTCTTCTAACCTTCGAAACCGTTTTCGAACCTTCTCTTTCTAATGGTTATTCTAATAACCAATTCGTACAACCGGTATTTATCCCCTCTCCCCTTCCCTCCCTTTTCCTCTTCCCTTTTTATTTTATTTCTTTTATTAATTTATTTTCTTTTTTAGGTTTTAATGGTTATTCAACCTTCGATTGAATTTTCCCAGCCTCTCCAACCCTTCTAACCTTCCCAAGCTTCTAAACTTTCTAAAGCAACTAAACCTAACCACCCAACTATTGTCTTACAAATTTCTAGCTTTTCTATTAAAATAATTGGAAATAATTTTATTTCTATTCTTTCTTCAAAAGAAAGAAATTCTTCAAAAGTTAGTAAAAATCCTTCTTTCTTTTCTCTTTATTTATATACTAATTTTTTAGCCTTCTTCTTCGAAGAAAACTACCCTCCCCCCTCTTCCTAACCGTCTTTCTCTTTCTCGTTCACCTTCTCCCAACCCTCTTTCTAATACCCCCCCCCCCCCCCCCCCCCCCCTTCTAACCCTCCTTCTCGTTCTATTTCTATTCCTTCTTCCCTTCCTTCTTCCCCTTCTAAGAAAAGGAGTAGGCCTTTTAGTACTAAAACTAGGAATAGGGTTGTAAAGAATCGTAAAAGCTGGAAATAATCCCTATTTTCTTTCCTTTATTCTTTTTTTTTCTTTTTTTTTTCTTTTTTCCTTTTTTCTTTTTTTTTTCTTTTTTCCTTTTTTCTTTTTTTCTTTCCTTTTTTCCTTTTTTTCTTCCTTCTTTCGTTTTTTCCTTATTTCCTTCTTTCTTTCTTTATTCAATCAATATAATCTAGTAATTAGTTTGGTCAATTGGGTTTAAATAATATACTTATATAAATAGTAAAAATAAGAAAAGAATTCGATTCTAATACTCCTAGTTTTAAAAACCGTGATTTTATTTATTTCTATTATTATTTTTCGTTTTATTTTTATCAAATATTATTAGAAATCAATATTATTTAAAATATTTATTAAGAAATATAAATATTTTGTATTATATATATCTTTTATACAATATTATTTACATTATTAAGATTAAAAGAAAGGGAATATAATTATAGAATATAAAAGATTAAAAGGGTAAAAGATATATTTATAATAAATATATTTATATATTTATTTATACTATTTTATATAATAATTTATTAAGTACAATAGTATTTTTATGTTTATAATGCTATATTTTTATATTTTATATTTAAATTAACTTCCTATTAGTAGTATTAAACTAGTACTGAAAATAATAAAGCCGTACTAAAAATATTAAAAATATTAAAATACTAAAATACTAAAATCATACTAAAAGTACTAAAAGTAGTAAAATCGTACTAAAATACTAAAATCGTACTAAAAGTACTAAGAATACTAAAATACTAAAATTATATTAAAATATTAAAATAACTAAATAATATTAAAGGTAATAGATATATATATTTTATAATATTATTCTTTATTATTTATAATAAATAAAATAAAATAATTTTAAATTAGAAAATAAAAATAAATAATAATTAAATCCTTCCTTCCCTTCTATATTCTTCTAATTCTTTGTCACGGGTCTACTAGGTGTGCACGGTAGTAGGGGTGGAACAGAGCTTGAGATTGTTGACAAAGGGGAAGAAGAGGTCCTATAAGCCCGGCTAAGCTAGAACGACACCTATGTACTAGAAGCCTAGCCAATCAGGGGATAGGCAAGTAAACAGGTCTGTAAGCCCTATTAAGGTCCATAACCTAGCTTACAGCTAGGTTCGACCTCTAGGTGCCAGCCTCTTACATTATCCCCCAACTCCCCCTTACGCACAAATAAAAATTATTATACATAAAGAAATATCCTCAAAATTACTAACAAGCGGCCTCCCATCTATGCCTACAACCCCATCGTTAAATACTCCCAAACTAAACACTTTGAATAATTAGAGCAAAACAATAAAATAACGTAGATAACTAAAGTAAGCAACTCTACACAGAAATCGTATACCCTTCTTAAAAATTAAGCCCC